TTTGTTTTGCTGAACTTGGAACTGAGTTGTTGGTTTTTTGTTTTTGTTTTTTAATTGATTAGAGAGAGAGAGAGAGAAACATCGATTTGTTGTTCCACTTATTTATGCATTCATTGGTTGCTTCTTGTATGTGCCCTAATCCGGGGATCAAACCCACAACTTTGGCGTATCGGAAGGATGCTGTAACCAACTGACCTACCTGGCCAGGGCCTGGAACTGAGTTTTTCTAGAAATTGTGAAGCTCAGAATAAACTAAATCCACTTCTGGATAGTTGAGAGAAGAAGAAAGGAAAGAAGTATTTCAGTAACCAAATTGGGGCTTTGGAGATCAGATATATCTAATAGAGACTTAAAAAAAAAAAAAAAAAAAAAGACTAATGTCTTTGATGTGTTCTAGAAATGACACACACTTATATAAAGAGGCACAGAGGAGAAATTAAAGTCACCTAAAATTTTACCAATGAAATAGTTATTGTTAACATTTGATGGACATATTTCCAATGTGATTTATAAATTGTTTGATATTGGGTATTTTATATAAATTCCCTTTATATTTATTGAAAAGCCAATCTGCCTTTACAATGGTTCCACTGGTCCTAGCACTGCCCTTCCTAGCTACACACAAGTCTCCTCTCTCTCCCAATAGTGCCTGCTGCCTCACCACCCCCCACCCCCATATTGGAGTTCCAGCAACATAACATCACTAGTTTCTTTAGAGATTTCTCCAAGATCTGACTCCAAACTCTTTTTTTTTTTTTTTAATCCTCACCCGAGGACATTTTTGCATTTTTTGTTCAGACAGAGCGGGAGGGAGAGAGAGGAAGAGAGAGAGAGAGAAACATCGATGTGAAGGGACACATCGAGTGGTTGCCACCCGCACGACCAACCAGGGCTGGGGACAAACTGCAACCGAGGTACGTGCCCTTAGCAGGAACCGAACCCGGGTCTCTCTGTACCGCAGGCCGACGCTCTAACCGCTGAGCCAAACCGGCCAGGGCTCCAAACTCTTTACCATTCATTCTGGATGAGCTCCTGTAGGTTCGCCCTGGTGTGTCAATATCCCTTTGATAACCACCTGCCTCCCTGTCTGGAGCAGAATCTGTCCAGATGCAGTCTGGGGAGTGGAAAGAGCAGACAACTGTCACCTCTCTGTGCCTGTCACACAATGGGCTATTATGGAACTTGTGACCACACATACGCAACTCCTCCCTGCACCCTCACACCATTTTTTCTCACATTGCTGCTATTAATCCAAGTCTTTCCCACCCTGTTTTCTGTTAAAATTTTAAATAAAAAATCCTGCATTTCCTAAAGATTTCATATAGGAGATGGGGAAGAGAAGAGCTATGTCACACAAAGCACAGCATTTCTATCTAAAAACTGCATGAGACAGGTTTACTGTCTCCTCAAAATCCATCTCCATCTCCAGCTGGCCTCCAGCCAGAGTGGATCCAGGTTTTGTGAGGCCTGAAGCTTATATACCTTTGTGGGTCCTCTTTAAGAAAAAGAATACAGCCTGGCCACAGTGGCTCAGTTGGTTGGCCAAAGTGGCTCAGGTGGTTGTTGAGCGTTGTCCCATGTTCAACTCCCAGGCAGGGCATTTCTCTCTCACATTGATGTTTCTCTCTTGCGCGCGCGCTCTCTCTCTCCTCCTTTTATGCATGTCCTTAGGAGGACTGAAAAAAATAAAAGAAAGACCCTGGCCAGTTTGGCTCAGCAGTTAGAGCATCGGCCTGCGGACCAAAGAGTCCTGGGTTCGATTACAGCCAAGGGCACATACCTCAGTTGCGGTTCATCCTGGCCCCCGTTGGGGTCGTGCAGGTGGCAACCAATCGATATGTCTCTCTCACATTGATGTTTCTCTTTCTCTCCCTCCCACTCTGTCTGAAGATATATGTAAAAATATCCTCAGGAGAGGATTTAAAAAATAATAATTTTTTAAAAGAGAAAGAAAAATAGTACAAAATTGGGTATGAAATAAATATTTAATTAGAAGGTGAGAATAAATCACAAGTTACAGATTAAAATTTTCAACCCTGGCCCTTGCCAAGCCTGTTTGGCTCAGTGGTTAGAATGTCAGCCTGCAGACCAAAGAGTCGTGGGTTTGATTCCGATTAAGGGCATGTACCTTGGTTGAAGTTTGGTCTCGGCCCTGGTTGGGCTCATGCGGGAGGCAACCAGTTGTTGTGTCTCTCTCACATCAATGTTTCTCTCTCTTTCTCTCTCCCTCGCACTCTATCTGAAGATAAATGAGAAGAAAAGTATCCTCAGGTGAGGATTTAAAAAAAAACTTCAATTCTGCCTAGCCGGTATGGCTCAGTGGATTGAGCATCATCCCATGGATTGGTTCAATTCCCGGTTTAGGCACATGTCTGGGTTTTGGGCTCAATACCCAGTGTGGGTGTGCAGGAGGCAGGGGATTGGTGTTTCTCTCTCACAACAATGTTTCTATCTCTCTCTCCCTTCCTCTCTCTCTAAAAAAGCAATACAAACATATTTAAAAAGAAAAATTTCAACCCTAGCCAAATAGTTCAGTTGGGTAGCTCAGGTTGCAGGTTTAATCCCCAGATAAGGGCACATACAAGAATCAACCAATGATGCATAAACAAGTAGAACAACAAGTAAGTGTTTCTCTCTATATATAAAATTAATAAAAATTAAAAATTTTAAATCTTAAAAAAAATTTTTTTAAGCTGACAAATAACTCAGCGGGTGTGGCTCAGTGGATTGAGCATCATCCCATGGACTGAGAGGTCCCAGTCCAATTCCTGGTCAGGGCGCATGCCTGGGTTTCGGGCTTGATCCCCTGTAGGAGGTGTGCAGGAGGCAGCCCATCAATGTTTCTTTCTCTCCCGCTTCCTCTCTCTCTAAAAACTCAATAAAAACATTTAAAAAAAAAAAAAAAAAAAAGCTGCACTGGCCAGTTTGACTCAGTGGTTAGAGCGTCGGCCCGCGGACCAATGAGTGGCGGATTCAATTCCGGTCAAGGACACAAACAGCCACTAGATGTGTCCCTTTCAAGTCTATGTTTCTCTCTCTCCCTCTCTCTCCCTCCCACTCTATCTGAACAAAAATGGAAAAGTGTCCTCCAGTGAGGAGAGGGAAGGGAAGGGAAGGGAAGGGAAGGGAAGGGAAGGGAAGGGAAGGGAAGGGAAGGGAAGGGAAGGGAAGGGAAGGGAAGGGAAGGGAAGGGAAGGGAAGGGAAGGAAGGGAAGGGAAGGGAAGGGAAGGGAAGGGAAGGGAAGGGAAGGGAAGGGAAGGGAAGGGAAGGGAAGGGAAGGGAAGGGAAGGGAAGGGAAGGGAAGGGAAGGGAAGGGAAGGGAAGGGAAGGGAGCTGCCCTGGCCGGTTTGGCTCAGTGGTTAGAGCATTGGCCTGCGGTCCAGAGAGACCCGGGTTCGGTTTCCACTAAGGGCATGTACCTCGGTTGCAGTTTGTCCCCGGCCCTGGTTGGGTCGTGCAGGTGGCAACAACTCGATGTGTCCCTTTCATGTCAATGTTTCTCTCTCTCTCTCCCTCCCACTCTATCTGAACAAAAACGGAAAAATGTCCTCAGGTGAGGATAAAAAAAAAGCTGACAAATATCCAAACATATCAAAACCTAGAAAAATAATATTCTTTCACATTTTGATGATCCATTCATCCATCCATGAACACAAGTTGCTTGCATGTCTTGGCTATTGTAACTACTGCTGCAGTGTATTGTAACTAATGAGGATGTAGATATCGAGTTTTCAGAAGTGGAATTGCTGGATCATATGTTAGTTTATCTCTCTTTTAAAACAGTCTGGCTTGCCCTGGCCGGTTTGGCTCAGCGGTTAGAGTGTCGGCCTGCGGTCCAGAGAGACCCGGGTTCGGTTCCCACTAAGGGCACATACCTCGGTTGCAGTTTGTCCCCGGCCCTGGTTGTTCATGCAGGAGGCAGCCATCCAATGTGTCCCTTTCACATCGATGTTTCTCTCTCTCTCTTCCTCCCACTCTATCTGAACAAAAAAATGGAAAAATGTCCTCAGGTGAGGATAAAATAAAATAGTCTGGCTGGTGTGGCTCAGTGGTTGAGCATTGACCCATGCACCAAGAGGTCACTGGTTTGATTCCTGGTCAGTGCACATGCCCAGGTTGTGGGCCCGATCCCCAGTGGGAGGCATGCAGGAGGCGGCCAATCAATGTTCTCTCTCATCAATGTTTCTATCTCTCTCTCCCTCGCACTTCCTTTCTCTCTAAACTCAATAAAGGAAAGAAAAATTTTTTAAATTAATCTAATTTTAATTAGCAATTACACAGTTGAAAAAAAAAATATATATATATATATACACACAATGAGAAGTTTCTCTTGCATCTGCCCCATTGTCATCTATAGCTACAAACATATCAGTAAGCACTTTTAAAAAACCTTTTTTTGGGTCTCTCCTGGGCTTCTTTGTGTGAATATGAGCATATACAAATATATATTGTTTTCCTCTTTCTTATACAAAAGGTAGCATCTTGCTTAGCTCAATATCTTGAACTCTTTCCATATCTATTTAGAAAGAGCTTTCTTATTCTTTTTGCAGCTGCATAGTATTAATTTTGTGCATGTAACATAATCTATTAACCTAGTTGATGGACATTTACCTGTTTTCAATCTCTTGCTATCGTATACAATGCTGCCATGTTTAATTTCATATCCGCACCTAATGTCATGTTTCAAGCAGAATATCTACAAGATAAACTCTTCTAGGAGTGGGGTTGCCCAGTCAAAGGCTATATGTATTTGTACTTTCTATATCCATTCTAAAATGCCCCTCTATATTTACCAACTTGCACACCCACCAGCAATGCATGAGGGTAACTAATTCCCTAAAACTTTGACAACTGTTTTCAAATTTTGGGATTTTTTGCCAACCTGACAGATGAAAAGTGGTATCTCAGTTTAGTTGTGTTTGTTCCATTTTTTAAAAATTGAGGTAACATATACATACAGTAAAATGAACAGCTCAATAAATTTTAACACATATATGCTGTGTTCACTTTGGCACACATATACTAAATTGGAAGACACAGAGAAGATTCGCATGGCCCCTGCACAAGGATGACATGCAAATTCATGAAGTGTTCCTTTTTTTTTTTGGAAAAACAAACAAACAAAAAACATATTAATGCAGTTACCCAAATAAACTGTACAATCATCACCCAAATAAAAATGTAATGATTCCCAGCACCTCAGAAGTCTCCATAATGTCCCTTCTCAATCAATACTTCCCCCAACCCTCACCCCTCCGAGCTAACCATTCTTCTTACTTCTATTGACATAGATAACTTTTAGTGTTCTTGAACTTCATATATATGAAATGACACAATATATACTTAGTGTTTCTGGATTCTTTTTTTTTTTTTTTTTTTTTGGTATGTGCCCCTAGTGGGAACCGAACCCAGGACTCTCTGGTCCGTAGGCTGACACTCCAACCGCTGAGCCAAACAGGCCAGGGTTGTCTGGATTCTTTTTTTGTGTGTTTGCTTTTAAGACTATTTTTAAAAAATAACTTTAAGCCCTGGCCGATTTGGCTCAACGGTAGAGTATCGGCCCACGGACCAATGAGTCTTGAGTTCGATTCCGACCAAGGTCATGTACCTCAGTTGTGGTTCATCCCCGGCCCTGGTCAGGGTCGTGCAGGAGGCAACCAGTCATTGTGTTCCTCTCATGTTGATGTTTCTCTCTTTCTCTCTCCCTTTCTCTCCTTCTTTCTCCCTCCCACTCTATCTGAAAATAAATGGAAAAATGTCCTCGGGTGAGAATTAAAAATAATAATAATAATTTTAAGGCTCCCAACAAAATTCATGGAAAAGTATAGATATTTTCCATATATTCTCTGCTCTGACACATGCATAGACTCCCACATTATCAATATCTTTCACAAGAGTAGTAGATTTCTTACAACTGATGAACCTACATTGACATATCATAATGTCCTCAAGTTTATAGTTTGCATTATGGTTCATCCTTGGTGTTGTATATTCCATGGGTTTGTATGATGTTTTATGACATGTATCCATCATTATAAAATCATACAGAGAATTTTTACTGTCTTAAAAATCCTCTGTGCTCCACATATTTATCCCTTCACCCTACCTGTACCCCTGGCAATTAATGATTTCTTGTATTGTCTTCACATTTTGCCTTTTCCAGAATGTTATAACCTTCATACAGTATGAAGTCTTTTCATTTTGGTTTTCTTCACTTAATAATATGCACTTAAGTTTCCTCCATGTCTTTTCATGGCTTGATAGCTAATTTCTTCTTTTTAAAAAAAATCTGGAACATACCCTGGCCGGTGTGACTCAGCAGTTGGAGTGTTGGTCTGTGGACCAGAGTTGCGGGTTCAATTCTAGTCAAGGACACATGCTTAGGTTGCGGGTTCAGTCCCTGGCCCTGGTTGGGGTTGTGCAGGAGGCAACCAATTGATATGTCTCTCTCACATCAATGTTTCTCTCTCTCTCTCTTGCCCACTCTATCTGAAGGTAAATGGAAAAATATCCTCAGGTGAATTTGCCTGTCATCCTTGTGCAAGGGTCATGCTAATCTTCTCAGTTTTGGTTCCAATTTTAGTGTACATACTGCTGAAGTGAGCATGCTAATTCTTTTTAGTGCTGTCTGGATTTTTTCAGTTAACGTTATGTCTGTAAGATGAACACAATGTTATGAGAGTAAAGGAGTCTGTTCTTTTTTAGTGCTATATACCATTTCATTGTATGAATATATTGATAATTATTACCCTTTCTACTATTGATGAACCTTTGGATTGTGACTTTTATTTATTTATTTCGATTTTTAAAAAAGTTTTTGTTCAGATAAAGTGGGAGGGAGAGAGAGAGAGAGAGAGAGAGAAACATCAACGTGAAAGGGACACATCGAGTGGCCGCCTCCCCAACGACCCCAACCAGGGCCAGGGACAAACTGCAACCAAGGTACATGCCCTTAGCGGGAACCGAACCCAGGTCTCTCTGGATTGCAGGCCAATGCTCTAACTGCTGAGCCAAACCGGCCAGGGCTCGGGTTGTTTTGTTTTTGTTGGTTTTTTTTTTATTCCTCACCAGAGAGGACATTTTTCCACTTATTAGATAGAGTGGGAGGGAGGGAGGGAGAGAGACAGAGAAATATCGATATGATAGAGCCACATTGACTGGTTACCTCTCACAAGACCCCCACCAGGGCCCACCAAGGCCAGGCAGGAACCGCAACTGAGGTACGTGCCCTTGACCAGAATCGAACCTGCAGCCACTGGTCCGCAGGCCGACACTCTAACTGCTGAGCAAAACTGGCCAGGGCTGGATTGTGACTTAAAAAAAAAAAAAAAAAAATTTCCGCCCTGGCTGGTTTGGTTCAGTGGTTAGAGCGATGACCTGTGGTCCGGAGAGGCCTGGGTTCAGTTTCCGCTAAGGGCATGTACCTCGGTTGCAGTTTGTACCCGGCCCTGGTTGGGTCATGTGGGTGGCAACCACTCGATGTGACCCTTTCACATTGATGTTTCTCTCTCTCTCTCCCTCCCGCTCTATCTGAATTTTAAAAAAATGGAAAAATGTCTTTGAGTGAGGATAAAAAAAAAAATTTCTTTTTAAAGAGCATTTTAGGTTCACAATTATTTGTAGTTTTTGACTTTAATAAATAATGCTACTATGACCATTCTTATACATATCTTTTAGTGGACACATGCACTCATTTCTCCTGGCAATATACTTAGAGTAGAACTGATGTGTCATGGCATAGGCAATTGTTTAGCTTTGGTTTGGCTCAGCGGTTAGAGCACTGGCCCATGGACCAAAGAGTAGCGGGTTCGATTCCGGTCAAGGGTACAGAACTCAGTTTTGGTTCCAACCCCAGCCTTGGTTGGGGTTGTTTGGAAGGCAACCAATTGATGAGTCTCTCTCACATCAATGTTTCTCTCGCTCTCTCCCTCACATCCTCAAGTAAGAATTTTTTTAAAAATGCCAAAGAGATATGACAACTAATACAATATGTGATCATCCAATGGATCATGAACTAAAAAAAAAAATGTTTGCTATAATGTCCATTACTGGGACACCTGGAAACTGAAAAAAATTGAATATATACTATAGATTAGATAGCAGTAAATTTCCTGATTTTGTAAAATTAATAGTGGTTATGTAAGAGAATGTCCTTGTTCTTTAGAAATTTATATGTACTGCCCAACCAGTGTGGCTCATAGGTTGAGCATCAACCCATGCACCAAGGGGTCACTGGTTCAATTCTGGGTCAGGGCACATGCCCGAGTTGTGGACTCAATCCCCAGTGGCTGGTGTTCAGGAGGCAGCCAATCAATGTTTCTATCTCTTTCTCCCTCTCCCTTCCTCTCTCTCTAAAAAATCAATGAAATATTTTTTAAATGTTTAAAAAAAGAATTTATACATATATAAATATATAATACATATATATAAAACCCTGACCCATAACCCTAACCCTTTATATTATATATTAGATATTATATGTTATGTATTATGTTTTATATTTATAAAGAGAGAGACAGAAAGAAAATGTTAATTGGCAAATATGGTTAAAGGGTATACAGAAGTTCTTTGTACTCTTCTTTTTCACCCAACTCCCCTCCCATCTAGCAATCAACAAGAAGTTCTCTGGATATATGAATCTGTTTCTGTTCTGCTTGCTCATTTTGTTTGGAGATCCAGTTGTTGATAGACATGTATTTATTGCCATTTTATTGTTCATATTTTTGTATCTTCCTCAAAAATACCCTCAACATTTCATATAATACTGGTTTGGTGGTGAGGAACTCCTTTAGCTTTTTCTTGTCTGGGAAACTCTTTATATGGCCATTGATTCTAAATGATAGCTTTGCAGGATAGAGTAATCTTGGTTATAGGTCCTTGCTTTTCATCACTTTAAATATTTCTTGCCACTCCCTCCTGGCCTGCAAAGTTTCTTTTGAGAAATTGACTGACAGCCTTATGGGAGCTCTGTTGTGGGTAACAAACTGCTTTTCTCTTGCTGTTTTTGAGATTCTCTCTTTAACCTTTGGCATTTTGATGATGATGTGTCTTGGTGTGGACCTCTTTTGGTTCATCTTGTTTGGGACTCTCTGTGCTACCTGGACTTAATATCTGTTTCCTTCACCAAGTTATTTTTCAAATAGGTTTTCAATTTCTTGCCCTCTCTCTTCCTCTTCTGGTACTCCCATGATGTGAATGTTGGTACACTTAAAGTTGTCCCACAGGCTCCTTATATTATCGTATTATCGTCATTTTTTTGGATTCTTTTTTTTTTTTTTTTTGCTGTTCTCTGATTGGGTGTTTTTTCCTTCCTTATAGTTCAAATTGGTGGTTTGCTTCTTGGCTTCACTTACTCTACTATTGATTCCCTGTAAATTATTCTTTATTTCAGTTAGTGCATCCTTCATTTCTGACTGGTCCTTTATTATGCTCTTTAGGCCCTCACTAAGTTCATTGAGCATCCTTAAAAGCGGTGTTTTAAACTCTGCACCTGTTAGATTGCTTATCTCCATTTTATTTAGTTCTTTTCCTGGAGTTTTGTTCTGTCTTTTCATTTGGGACATGTTTCTTTGTCCCTGTGTTTGTTTCTTTGTATTAGGTAGAGTTGCTATGTCTCCTAGGCTTCCTAGGGTGGCCTATTGTAGTAGGTGCCCTGTAGGGTCCACTGGCACAGCCTCCCTGATCACCCAGCTGGGCCCTCAAGGTGCACCCCTAGTGTGGACTTTACACCCTTTTGTTGTAATTGAGTCTTGATTGTTTTGGCACATCAATGGGAGGGTTTTACTCAGGTTGATCAGCTGCAAGGACTGGCTGTGCCCACTGACCACTGACCTCTGACTACCTTAGAGGATCAGCTGTGCAGGGGCCCACCACACAGAGCAAGACTTACTTCAGCAGTGCTCTAGTACCCCGAGTCTATTCCTTGAGTGTGTCACTTGCGGAGGTGGGTGGGTGGTGGTGCTTCAATATCGTCTGAAGCTGTCCACTGGGTGTGCCAGCTCTGGGGCAAGGTCAGCCACTGCCTGTGTTCTACCCACGACCACCAGGCATAAGTTACAAAACAGTCTGCAGATGGCTGCTTCTTGTGCTGGGCTTGGAGGTGCCCAGGCAAAGCCAAGCTGTGAACCAACGCTGGCTGCTTCTAGTGCCAGGCTTGGGGTCACTTAGGGAGAGGTACGTGGCCTACTGTGGCCAGATGCTGCTTGTTTGAGAGAATTTAGGAAAATCTCTGAAGCAGGAGCCCAAACAGGCCAATCCTATGGTAAAGCCACTGGAAATAGCTTGGGTGGGCCTGAAAGTTGGGTGGGGTAGGGCCTCAGGGAATCACCAGGGTGGGGCAAACAGTGTGAGCCAGGTTGCTGGAGTCCCAGATATGGCACCCATCTGCCGGCCTTATAGGGGAAGGGCTCACCAAAGGAACAATGGCCTTCAACAGCAAGTCTGTCCAGGAGAAAGCTGCCTCTCCAGTCCTTGCCCCAATGCCAAACAACTCAGTTCTTCCCCTGATGTCTCTGATGCCTTTCAAGCTGCCTCTCCTCCATGCTGGAGCTCAGAGGGAACGGGTCCCCGTAAGTCCGTGCTTGGGCCCTATAAGAGGAGCTGTCTGGGGCTCCAGAAGTCTCAGCCTCCCTCAGCCTCAGTTCCCACTGGTTTCTCCAGCCAGAAGTTATGGGACTTCTCTTTCTGGGACTGGAACCCTGAGCTGGGTGCCTGGTGTGGGACGGGGACCCCTCAGTCCTCAGGGAGGACCTTCACAGCCAGGTGCCCCTCCTGATTTTTATCCACCACACGTGGGTGTGGGACCAGCCAGTCCGTGCCTCTGCCCCTCCTACCAGTCTCGATGTGGCTACTTCTTTAATTTTCTAGTTGTAGGACTTCCATTCAGCTTGATTTCAGACAATTCTGAAGGATGTTTGTTGTAGTTTAGTTGTAATTTTGATGCGGTTGTGGGAGGAGGCTAGTACTCAAGTTTTTACTTTTAATGAAGTCCAGTATACCTATTTTTTCTTTTGTTGCTCATGCTTTTGGTGTTATATCTAAGAATTCATTGCTAAATCCAAATCATGAAGATTTACCCCTATGTTTTCTTCTAAAAGTTTTATGATTTTATCTCTTATATTTAGGTTGTTGATCTATTTTAAGGTAGGGGTCCAATTTCATACTTAAAATTTTATTTTATTTTTTTATTAATTAATTTATTTTTGATACAGAAGTTTCTCCTTTTCCCCCCATTGACACCCTCCTTTCAATCCTGCTCCACTCCTCAGTATTGTTGTCTGTCCATTGGCATTTTATTTTTTCCATCACCATTTATCACCTTTATACTTTCTTCCACCTCCACCCACCCCACCCCCAATTTCATACTATTGCATGTAGAAATTCAGTTGCCCCAGCACCATTCATTGAACAAACTATTCTTTCCCTCACTGAATGAACTTGGTACCTATAAGGTCTCAGCCGGCAGGAGATCACATCCACAACACAAGGCCAATGTAGAGCAAAATGATTTTATTGCATGTGCCTGAGTGCAGGTGGGCTGAACCAAAAAGGGGTCAGCCTCAAATAACAGTTGGGGTGTAGGTTATATACTCTACTTGTAGTTTCCGG